AACTTTTCACGGCAGAAATCGACTGCTGAGTGGAAGATCGAAAACGTCCTATCTCAAAAAACTTTTCAAGAAAGCCCTATTTGAGAATTTGGTTGAAGAACACCCTATTACAGAATTCGTTTCCAAAACGCCCTATCTCAGCTGCCGATTCAAAAACACCCTATATCAGCACATTTTCAATACATTTTGAAGTTGGATAGGGCCTTTTTAAACCGAATTCTGAGATAGGGTATTCTTCAACCAAATTCTGAGATAGGGTGTTTTTCAATAAAATTCTGAAATAGGGCGTTCTTGAAAAGTTTTTTGAAATAGTCACTCTAAAGCAGTCATGCCGAACGCTGGCAGAACTCCATAAGGAAGTACTTTGCAAAGCAGTGTTGCAACTTAGTGAATAATTCCTCAAAACCTGAGGAATTTCGGGTGCGCTTGAGCATTTTTTGACGATTTTTATTTTGAGAAATTTTCTCTCGATATATTTGCAGATAACAAATGTAATGTCTGCAATTTTTTGAACAAAAAGCTTTTCGAAGTTTTATAAAGAGCGAAATACACCACACAAGCAGCTCATCAAACATTCTTCAAACCTACTTTTCCCATTTCGCCATAAACCATGCAAACATGACTCGTTCTCTCTTGCGTCCTCATTCGGTAAAAAATCATTTGCGAATGAGGCAACGTAATACGATGTTTCCACGATTCGTAACTCGCTTTCTAAGTAATCCGCTAAGTAATTCGTGAATTACCCTGTTTCCACGACACATATTAGTAATACGTTTGGCAGCTCTAGTTCTTGTTCTTCGCTATTTATTATTATTTTTATGTATTTTATGGCCTTATAACAATTATATTCAACAATTTTTATTGAGCTCAAAGCAGTTTTTTTATGAAAACTTATTGTGGAAAAGCAACAATAATTAAAAAAAAAATGGTAGAAGTGATAGCTATTTTGGAAATCACCACATTTCCTCATCAGACTTCTTTCAGTAGGACTCGAACCGGGGATCCCACTGACTCAGCCAGTTGCCTACGCACTGTGCTAAGTTCGCCTTGTTAATTCTTGTTGCTTATTTCCACTATTTAACTTGTTAAGCCATTCCGCTGCAATTAACTTGATCATGTGGTTGTTGGTTTTTGTTAATATTTCCATTATTAGAATCTTTAACTTTTAGGTGTGCTCGTCCTTAAGTTATTTGTTTTCGTTATTTTATGGCCTTATAACAATTAAGTTCAACAATTTTTATTGAGCTCGAGGCCGTTTTTTAATGAAAACTTATTGTGGAAAAGCAACAATAATTTGAAAAAATGGTAGAAGTGAGAACTATTTGTTGAATTAATATTACTCTATAACTGGAAAAAGTGCCGGCAAATGGGACCAGGTCGGTGACAACTTCGATATATTTCCGATAAATATTAGAGCAGTCACCGACTCGTTCGTCATTCGCATGGTAATTCGATCTGAATTACCTATAAATGAGGTAATTCGCTCTCAAATTTTGTATTGTATTGGCTACGCGAATGACGAATGGGAGAGCGAATTACGAATGAGAGAGCGAATTACAAATCGTGAACACGCCTTGGGGTTTGACATGGCGGCCAGAAAATCAAAAAATTTTGATTTTTCTTCACATTTCACAATATTAATAGCTTTAAGCTTGGTGTCGCTTGGTTTGTCAAGCCGCTTATATGGTGTTTTTCGCTCTTAAGCACATCAGCATTTGCTGATCAATATTAAAAATGTTATCGACAATTCTTTTAATTCCATCGTTATATTTTCAACTTATTTTAAACTTGCGAAATCTCGGTAACGAATGGAGAGAACAAAATTATATCTGCATTACTAATATAATTTGTTCGGATTTTGAGGATTTTTCATTTATTTTTGAGAAATTGTATAATTTTTTTGTGGCAACGCTGCTGCCCTGCTCTAAATAATTAAGAAATCGACTCTAACACAATTACATGCCATTTCTCCACCCATCCTGCAAGGAAAATATGGCAGGCTTCCATTTGGAAGTAATTTAGAAACATTCATCGAATCAGAAGTTTTGAATCGACAATGTTTCCTTTTTTGATTTCTATGGAAACAATGTGGTTGTTCACTTTTGCCTTGTTATCAGGTTATCTGGTTAAAAATAATATTAAAACAACAATATTGTGCATCGTGCATAGAAAGTGTGCTGAAGCTCGACTCTACCTTTGCACGGATAAGTGAGCTCATACTCAAGATTTTGTACTGAAAATCGACGCAGAGTTTAAGGTCAATTTTAATGCATAAGGCATCGCATAGTTTTTATTAGATACGAAATATTCGGCATTCATTAAATTGCTTAAATACCCATACATACTTGCTTTATCAATCAAACAGCAATAACAGCGAGCAAAATAATAAATACAAAATGTGATACGATTGACCGATTTGCCAAATCGAAACTGAGTCATTTAAAATTAATTAACTAAAATCACTTATGTTTGAAAATACTAAGAAATCTGTTATATTCTTATCACACATACTTTTGTTAGTAGATATTTTTAAATATTTTTCAATGAAATAAATGCATTTCGTGTTGACGGTGCGGCAATGCGTAGTGGTTTTTGAAATTCCGGGCAGACGTATCTTATTTTTAAACACCTGCAATCGGTATGGCGACATTTTTTGTTTGTTTGTTAATGAACCTGTAATATTTAGTATCAGAAAATCCTTTACGTAATACAATCTTGTTGGGCATAATTGATCTCCTCTTTTTGTTTAATTATAACAAAAAAGCAGGAGCAACAAAAACAGTAACCGGAGCTGATTGAATGCGTCACAAGCTTTTATGTAGTCTGGTAAATTGTTGATCACTCGCAATGATCGTATGCATTACGCTCTAAATTGCGATGGTAAGGGGAGCTAGGGTGTGTGGGGCATACTGCATTTGTGATTTTCGCAATTAAGGCATCACATGCCTAGTAGCCATGTACATATACAAAGGCAATATTTTTGTTGACATTTTTTTTTATAGATTTATGTTGAAATACAATGCCGGCGAACGGCGAATTTTTCGCCGCGAACATTCGCTTTAAAAATTAAAACACAACTAAAGTAAACGACAAAGTGCGTCCGACGACTGTTGCCGACGATAGACTTCGGGTGCACCGTTCGAGTCCGGACAACTTTTTATTTGCTCTTAAGACATTTTTGCCGGAGAGGGGGCTGAAGTACGGTTCACCGTTCAGTTCGGCCACATTTTATTTAGATCCGAAGCAAACAGCTGATGATATTGTTACCACATACGATTTTGAGGGCAAAGAATACATGCAATTCGCAGCAAACGCATAAAAAAGAGAACGCGGCAACCCGAATCGTGAAGTCGTTCGGACAAAAATCAAAATCAATTTGATTCGAACAAAGAGTGTTCAGCACATTTTTGTCGCGCTCTCAGTGAGACAGAGTGGGAGAAGAACGCGTAAAATTACTAACAAAAAGTGTCCGGACACGAGCGTTGAATTCGCCTTAATTTCTATTGTCGTGGCTGGCACCAGCGGAAAAAAAGGTCCATTGTGGCCATATGCTAAGTATTCTAAAGTTTTTAAATCGAAATTAATAATTACTGTATTAGTTTTTGTTAAATATTAATAATATTGTTTGTAAAAATTTAATTCTACCTTGTCATAAGCAGCTGGTCTCGTTGTCGCCGTCATTGTGTTTTACTGAGTGAAATTTTTGGGCGAAAGTTGCTGACGTCCTCGCTCTTCTGGGGAAAAATTCGCCGTTCGCCGGAATTGTGTTTCAACGCTGATGGTGTGCATAATTATTTTTGTTTTCTGTTTTTTTTTTGTGTCTTGCTTTCAGCCATTTGTCGTTTCAGCACGTGCTACTGGTTGTTGTCTACCCTAGCCCCTCATTATTCACACAATTACAATTGCAGCACGTTTTTATCACTCTCTTCAATGCTGTCATTCAAGATCGAAGCGTTGATCGGCGTGCATTCACACGATCGCTTACCGGTCACGCTGAGTAATGTAGCACTTACCTAGTACATAGTACTTACATACATATAAGATGTAAACATTTTCAAGCTGACAAGCAATTACAATTGATTGAATTTCCATAAGAACCGCAATTATTTCGCTACGCGGAAAAGGGTCAATTTTGATAGTTAGTCTAAGCACGCTACTTATATACATACATATGTACATATGTATGCATATGTATGTCAGTTAGCTTTACTTAATACTGATTACTTTATAATTTCTCCCACTGCTCTGAGGTAGTTATGGCTGTACACTTGCCAGTAATTTAATTGCATAAATCGTATTTAAATATGTAAGTGTCAAGCGTCTGTTTTTCGCACATTAAACTTATATTTGTATTTTCCCTTTTTTGCCTCGATCACCGTCATCATCAGGCATGGGCAGAGNATATGTATGCATATGTATGTCAGTTAGCTTTACTTAATACTGATTACTTTATAATTTCTCCCACTGCTCTGAGGTAGTTATGGCTGTACACTTGCCAGTACTTTAATTGCAAAAATCGTATTTAAAGATGTAAGTGTCGAGCGTCTGTTTTTCGCACATTAAACTTATGTTTGCATTTCCCTTTTTTGCCTCGATCACCGTCATCATCATTACATTGGCAAACAAACATACGAGCGGCTGGCTCATAAAGCCTCCTTACTCAACAGGTAAACAGCGCAGTCGCTCAGCTGAGCACACGACATTGAACACAAAAGGGTTCGACGGCAGCGATCAATGTTCAGCGTACAACTTAACCAAGTTACGATTCGATTTCGGTTACAAAACCGCCAATTAAAATCACAGTTGCAGCCACTTGCAACAGCAGCCGTGCACTAATTTCAGCTGCTGCTCTGCTTTCGTTGCACTTGGAGTGTTAAGTTCGTGTATTCGGGATTTCCGTACTTTCCAGAATTGGCACACCCGCTTTGAGGCCGTGCAAGATCGAGCCACACTTTTTACACCTAACATTCATCGATATTTTGGCATTCGCATAACTGCCGTCGAGTTGGTGGCACACGTTCGCTACCCATAATCCTCACAAAATACGCAAGCACCCATACATACTAAAGTGATAATAAATAATACACACGCCCACGTGCAACGCAATACTCTGTGTACTTTAGGTACTAAATACTTAGTGTGTGTGTATGTTAAGCAATACTTATACATTAAATTAGTCAATACGTCTTTAATTAAAGGATCTTAAGATTCAAATTTTAAAACAACGCGTGTGCATATTCCAATATTAAATAAAGTGTTTTATTCCTTTTTCTTCTTCGCTTGCAGTGTAAACAAATTATTTTTAGTTAATCCATAAACCCCGCTAAATAAACACCAAACGAAAAATGACTTCCGACAGATTGAGTGGAGTCGCTCCGAGTGGACCAGCCAATGACAATTATGGCTCGGAAGTAACCTTAGATATACCACCTAATGGTCTGTATACAGGCAGCAGTGATTGTATAATACAAGATGATGATCCACAAAGTAAGCGTGGTTGTTGTGATGCAACCGGTGATTGGCTAAAACGTACTGCTTCGCAGGTGTTTCGCAAAAAGATGCTCTACAAACGGTTACCAATACTACAGTGGTTACCCAAATACGATCGAAATGATTTTGTTGGTGATTTAGTGGCTGGTATAACCGTCGGTTTAACTGTGATACCTCAGGGATTGGCTTATGCGGGCATAACGGGACTGGATTTACAGGTGAGTGGAAGATTTTTTTTGGTGATGTTGATATCCACAAAGTGAAGTGGATTTATAGAACCATGTAGAATTCTGATTTCAAACTAGTGGACTTATGACACATATGCTAGATTAGACACATCTTTTAGATGAAAGGTGGACTAGCTTATACTACACTTCTTCCATAAAAGAGATAGTCATGTTATAGTCAGACTTTCGGTTGGTTGCAGTGCTTTTTAGAAGCTAGCTAAGAGACATTCAACAGATTTTCGCGCAATTTTGATGAATTTCTTTTGGGAAATATATTGCTTGTGTACATAGATAACAATCTTGATTCTCTGTTTAATTATATCATTTCGCTTATGGAAGCTCCTGATGGGTATGTTAGTTGTGTTACTAAGTGTCTAACTGGTATATTTTTCTTACCCTAATACTCGAATGGCTTGGAAATTACCACAAGAAATCATGTAAACATTCTTTGCAATCTTTTAGTTGACAGCTCCGATAATTTTTTTTCCTGCAAAATGCAAAACTTTTAAAATGGCTGAAGAACGCCCTATCTCAGAATTAGATTGAAAAATGCGCTATCCTAGAATTGGGTTGAGGAACGCCCTAGGACAGAATTTATTTCTAAAAAGCTCTATCTCAAGTGAAAGTATATTTAAAATATGTTGATATACGCCGTATTTGAAGCCGCAGTTGGGATAGGACGTTTCAGAACGATTTCTGGAACAGGGCGTGCTTGATAAATTTTCTGAGATAGGTCGCCACCTAGCGGATTAATTCATATTTCATATTGAATCGTGATTAAATTATTAAATGTTGGATAAATATTGACATTTGCGTTTTCCGACTGCATTGTAAGGTTGCATTTAAGGAGTATACATATAGAAAGAGATAATAATTTGATCCCATTTTATGAACCGTGTTTTGTACTTTATATACATATGTATAGTGTATTTTGTCGTATAAAAAATTAATTAAATATTTAAACCAGCTTCTACTGATCTACTCATGAGATGAACTAAAATTGTATGGTATATTAAAGATCAAAGAAGTGGCGTAACTATATCATCTGAGGCCCGTGGCAAATTCTTTGGAATTCCCAGTGAAAATCGTCACATTGTAATTTAATTTTAATAAACCACTTAAGTAGTTACGCAATTTAGTCCCTCAGTTTTTGGGATATCCGACTGAGATTTAGTAATCGAGTGTATTTTTATAATGTATTAATCATTTGTCGGAACCGTCAAAATCGGTCTACTGTGGAAAGACTCATATGGTCTTTAGTTGTGTCTCACTTTATTTGATTTTAAGTACTAAAAAAAATATAACTTTTAAGTACCTAGTTTTGTTAGGATGCTCCTGAGCTCGCGGTCTCTTGGGCCGGGCCCCTTTCGGATCGGGGGCCCGTGGCGTTTTGCCAGCCATGCCACCCTATAGTTACGCCTCTGGATTAAAGATATAATAGATAAAGAAATAAGGAACAAGTCTAGAACCACAACTGTTAAGCTATAAAAAAAAAACGCGGATCGATAGAACTTTTTTCGCTGATTTCAACCATGCGAAAATTATATCCACCGGAACACAAACGAGGGAAATATGTATACGTACCTAGTATGCACAAATTTCTTCATTTTCAAAATGGAGATAGTATTTTAAGCCTTTTTGTTCAGCGTAACGTATGTCTTAAGGTTTTTTTTGTAAAGGATGTAAAGAAAGCCTACAACAAAAAATGGAAAAAGTTTCGCCTGTTGAACTTGTTATGTATGTTAAAGTGATTTCGTTTCCGAAAAATATCGCCTTTTGATTGCCCCCTTTCTCTTCCACATTTTCGATTCCAAATTAAAGGCAAAGAGTGAGAAAATTGTGTGTTCATTTCTTAAAATGTCTTCTAAGGAAAGAAGAGATAGTTGCCCTGAATGTGGTTGTTTTAAACTACAATATTATAAAATACGTGAGCTAGGCAACGGTAAGAAGGCAAAAACATGCCCTTTGACAGGATTGAGTGTAACATCAAACACAAAGCAAATTAAATAAAAGCTTGTAAAAAAATAAGAAAAGGTACATACACATTTTCAAAACGTTAGTTAGAATTTAAATTTTGACATCTTCCTCAACTGAATTAAAAATAAAAATCTAAAATCTAAAAATCTTTAATGAATATTTTAAAGTTATACATGATACAATAATTTTTAGAAGGTAGTTTCACTTCAAAATTTTTGACATAAACCGTGTCTGTGACAAACACGCAATGTGGCCACTGCTACGGTATAGAACTTGGGGATTATCGCTTGTTATTTTAGATATTTTTTAACAGAACATGTAAAGATTTATATGTTTCATAACTGATCACTTAATTTTTAATATAAATATACGTATTTTACATTATTGTATACAGCAATATTTCTTGTTTATAATGGATTAGATCCATCGCACACCACGGACTTTATCGGCCGCCAATTTAGACGTGCTCGCTAGTCTTTCCATTGCACTACAACTTATTGGTCAGACCGATTAAGCTGGTGTAGTGTGCGCACCNTAGTCTTTCCATTGCACCACAACTTATTGGTCAGAGCGATTAAGCTGGTGTAATGTGCGCACCTCCATACATCTTCATGTACATATTTCAAGCGAGCCCTATCATTTAAATAGGCGGCCGATAAAGTCTGTGGTGTGCGGTGGCTCTTATAGCTGTGTCCTTACATCTATTCCGTGTGTTGCAATATCCACGAAAGCAGCAGTTAATTTTTTATGAAGAAAATTATTACAAAATATTCGAAAATTTCTCTACTTAGATATATGTTTAGCTTTTCTTTGTTTTATTTTTCCAACGTCAAAAGCTGGATTTTTTTTTTGAAAAAGTCGGTACAACAAAAAATACGAAACACGTTTTCTGTCAGACAGCTAACATGGCGGATAAGAAGAAGAAGTAAAACTACCTTCTAAAAATTATTTTATCATGAAGTTATATGAAGTTGGCTATTGACATCTAATTTGAAACGACTTCAAAAAGACGAGGAGGAATATTTTTTTTTTATTTATATTACCCTAGAACTTTGGACCACGGTAACCGATTTCTGTAATGCTTTTTTGAAAGGAAATTTGGTACCTCAGAGATGGTTTCATCCTAATTTTATTTAGATCCGATCATTTAATCATGAAAATATTAACGGTACTCTCAAATTTGTGTATGAGAGTTCAACAATTTTATTGAGCTTGAGGCCGTTTTGTATGAAAATGGTGTGGAAAAACAACAATAATTTACGTATAGGTAGAAGTTATAGCTGGGCCATTCCATTGTGACTGGTAGAGCATTTTAGTCGAGAATGTGATCAATTTTGAATTATTTCTATGACGTCGGAACTTAACAACCCATTAAGCTAAGTTCGCCACGTAAATTTTTTTTCATAAAATTGTTTAGTATAATTGTTATAAAGTCTATAAATAACAAACAACAAATTAATAAAAAAATATATTAAAAAATTAAGCCTTTGCAAATTACCTAATTGAGTTCAGTTTTGGGCATTTTTAGCTTAAAAGCCAATAATTCTTTGTACCCACATTCAAATTTATATGTTTACAGATGTTTTTGACACTCCTCATGCTTACAATATGGCACGGTGTTTTGGATTTTTTTTTTTATTCTTAAATAAATATTTGTCAAATATTTTACTTCCTAATTCACATCGTTCAGCAAATTACAAAACTTAATAGAAAGTTTGAATTTTAAATTTAATACAAATACACTAAAAACAAAGTATACATTGACTCATTTAACAACAGTTTTAAAAAACCTCTTTAGCTGGTATTGTTGATAACACACACACATACTTAGACACATATGTACATACATATACATATGTATTTTAATTAGCAAGTGCGCTCATTTGAATGGTACATTCGTCAAGTTTGTTGACAAACAAAGTAAGAATAATTAATGTCATTGTAATCTTAGACAGCTAAATAAAAAATGTGTTAACTTATTTATAATCTAAAAATGTGCTTTTTGACAGCGATCTCTTAACGAGATCGGTCAATATAATCAATAAAAAATCTCCTTGTGTGTTTTTTTTTAATTTTTTGTTTGGCATCAGCTTTAGCTACTTTGGTGGCTATTTCTTAAACAGATACACTTAGAAAAAAGTCAGCTAAATATATTTATCTCAACACATGCTTTGGAAATTATAACCACATAGTGTAGCAATATCAATATCTAGTCTTGAGATGAACATATTTAGTTGACGTAACTAAATTATTTTCTCAGTGTAGGCTATCCTCATATAGCCTCATCGAACGTTGCATGGAATCCTGGTTACATACATACATTCGCAAAGTCTCTCATACGCAGCCAAATGTGATTTTTTGAGCTTGTATATATACATATGTATATGTTTTAAGATGCTCTTACTGAATACTGCTTTGTATAAGTCAATCCGATAAATTGCTATATTATTCTATAACCATACTGTCTTGGCTGTATGGAGGTTTAATATGCTATATATCTTTGACCTTCACAAGCTTTGAATAGTAATAGAATAAAAGTGTATACGGAAATGCAAACCTTACGATTTCGGCTCGCATGTGATAAATTTGTAGGACGAGAATATAGTCGTATATTTTGTTATACATACGTATTTAGCATTTCATATTTTATCAATTATTTGTGTTTTTTTTTCCTTTTTCGTAGCTTAATTTTTTTCGGTTAAAAATAATCATTATCCTTAGACCACTTATAGTATTTATGCCATTAATGCGCTCATTCACTTTGGAGACGTTTTAAATCATTATACAGCGCACTGGCAATCGCCTTTCTAAGCCCAGGAGCTCTCTTGTCCCGGTCACAAAGGCCAGCCATAAAATTTTGGAGATTCCGTTATTAGAAGTGCTAAAAGTTGCGATTTCTGGTCCGACAAATTCGCAAAGGGTTTTCTTTTTTGTAAAAACGAAAACCGTAAATCCCTAATCTTATGTGACAATATCAAAACGCACACAAATTGAATAATTGCAAAAATGTTTAATGTGCCAATTATTTTTTCTCCAGCTTATTCATAGGCAGATTATTTTTTTCTCTCTCAATTCTATGCAATAAAAATTTGTGTTTGTTTCTTAACAAAACAAACAAGCCAAGTTTTCAATTTCTTTCAGTCAAATCATGCATGCATATGCAGCAAATATAGAGGAATGTAAACTAATTTAGTATTTCAAATGCATACATACATATATAACTTTGACGCCATACGAACTTCACACACTCTTGTGAAACTGTTTTTTCAAAATTTTCGAACCGTTCTCATTTTAACGTGCTACTTACATACATACATACTAGGGATGTTGTGAATGTTGAATTTCAGACATCCGCGGATGCGAATATCTAACAGCTAACATCCGCGCATGCGGATGCGAATGCGGATGTGAAGTATTTTTAAGAAACAGTTAGAGTCTGGCATATTGCCGAGATCGGTGTTGAAACAGCGCTTACAAGCCAAATCAGATGTGTTAGGTTTTTCTAAAACTTTTTAAAAAGAATTCTCCATTCTCATTAATTGCCTGTTTCAGAATTTGGGGAATCTGTAACTTCATCAGCGTTTTTCGATTTTACATAGTTATTATAATCGATTTTTAACCCTTTCCGGTCAAATCCGTCCCCGATTAATATAAAAGTGTTTCCTCTTAATTAGAGGGTTCATAGAGCCTCATAATACCAAAAGTAAAGAAAAAAAAAATTCAAAAGTTGTTGTGGGCAGCTATTACTGCTACCTCAAATTTGTGCAATATATTGAACAAAAGTCCGCAAAGGAGTAAAAGCACTCAAGAAAACTCAATAAATATTTCATTAAGTTTGACGGAATAAAACTTTTATTTCATTGAAAATGAACTTATTTATGTACAAAATAATTGATTTTACTGCAGATATGTTGAAATTAATATTTTATATCTTTTTAAGTTTCTTTAGTTAAGATTTGCATTAAAAAATTTTAAATTTTCTCCATGAGAAGAGAATTATGTAAAGAAATTTTGAAAAATTTCAGATACAATGACAATTTAAATACAAGTGACCCGTTTTAATAAACCTTCCCGGTTTTTCTGCCTTCAGTAGATCAAGAAATCAAAAACCTACCCTTTAATGCAACAACAGCGCACAAGCTCTTCAAAAACCACCAATTGCCTTTTCAACTGCAACCTTTGCGGACGTTTGTACAATATATTGTACAAGACACTTAAAACCTTTCAGTGTAAATGTAGTGCATTGTATTGTATTGTATTTGTATTGTGATGAGTACACACATAGTGATTTTTGTTTAACATCTGCAAGGTTTTTAAAGTTAAATTGTTTTTTTTTTTTTTGTTATTTTTTCATAAAAGTATGGTTCATGCTTCACCAAAATAAAATCTCCAAATCAACACGATTTTACTAAAATTATTAAATTTGCGAAACTTCATACTCAAAAAAAAATCTAAAATATCAGATTAAAAAGCTCAAAATTTTAATGAAATTTTGTTAAATTTATCTAAGCTCTGTATAAAGTTTGGTTAAAATTTTTGCATAAAGCATAAACCATATTTTTGTAAAAAAAAACAAAAAAAATTTAACTTTAAAAACCTTGTAAATATTTAACAAAAAGCACTATGAACTGATCACTGCTCCCCACTGTACATATACCAGTACACCTACATATTAATAACACACTCAAATTATGTTCATCATTAACTCATTGCGGAGTCTGCAATTAAAACTTACTTTCTGGATAATGTAAGATAAGTGATGATCACTTTCTCCGAAAGTAGTTTTCCTGTACTCCAGATAATCACAAAAACAAATCTCATTGGTTTTAAATATATTTTAATTACTCCAATTTGATCACCAAAACTGCATTCAAATTAATTTTCCACTTCCTTTGTTTACGTCGCGTCGCTGGCGTTTATTTCTCCCACATATATTTTTTTTTGTCTTATAACAACTTGTTGTCATTGCTGTTACCGTTAAATTATTCATTATAATACGGTTTTACTTGCTTCAAGGTAAACAAAACAAAAGAACATTTAGAATGAATTTTTAAACAAAATTCAAATTTGTATCTGTCCTTCACAAATGCAAATAAGTCCGAGTTTTATCTGATATTTCGTAATACCAGTGACGTATGTAGGTATGTACGTTAAAAAAAAATTGTTTGGCCGTAACTGCCGGCCGGAAGAAAATAAAATACACTTGAAGTATTGCGATCATCAGTCTCAAATCGATCTAAGTATTTAATTCGTCGGCCAACAAAAGACCTTGTCCTGGTTTTCGAATAGCGCTCGTTGAGCAGATATGAATTTTGTCTAAGAATATTCCACGTGGAGTTAAATGCACTCCCACCCCCTGGGGAGACCAGCTCTGGGGTACACGTTCTAGCTGTTTAATCTGCCACACAGTTGCCTTTAATATCCCTGGAGCCTGATACGCTTGCTACCACATAATTAAAAAGAGATGTTAGGCATTGCCCTTCTAGCATTGAGCCCAGGGACTTCGGTGCCACCAATAATAGCCTTATCAGGTATGAGCTACACGCTTTCAAAAATATTAGAGTGTCCAAGCCTTAAGTAAGTAATCTAAGCACCCAGTAACCCTTAAGAAATTAAACATTTTCCAGATGATGGGGTAGGTATGTATATATGTATTTAAGCTTTGAGTTTGCTATGATCTTGCAAACTCTGTTTAGAGAAAAACGGTATCGAACAATATAATAGAATCCAGTCTGCAGAGTCCGTGTGTAGGATAGCACGACATATCTGGCCCTCCGACATTCGTTACATCACCCTCCGACATTCGCACTGAACTGAGCACGACTAGTATCTATGTTTTTGTGATCTCAATCAGATCGACGATAGAGATCAACTCTAGCGGGGAAGAATATAAACAGCCTCTATTAGGGTATCACAGTGGGGTTCCTTCGAACGTTGGATTACCTTACCTTCAGTTTTAATGAGAAAATTTTTAAAGTTATTGTTTCTCACCAAAACAGGACGCTTTCACGATATGTATGAAATATGTATGAGGCCATGGGGGCCTGGGCAAAATTAAAGCGGTATTTTCCTAACAAGTTGATCGCACCTACGTGATACTATATATTATAGTAAAAGAAAACTAAAAGGGCGTGCTTCGGGCTATTACCGTTTCGTTTCCAGTAAGGCATGTTAAAGTGCACCTAAACTTTTGTGGAATGTCAGTTAGGCTACTGACTGGCCTCATATGTTTCTTTGCCTGTCAGGCTTTTCCTAGCCATCTGACGTCTTGCAAAAAAATGTATGCTTGATACAAAACATGCATACGTCTATATTTAGTAGGCTTCCTTATAACCGCACCAAATCAAAGCTGATTGTGAGACCTATGTATGTAAACTAAATTATATTTTTATTTATTATAGAGCACACCGATAAATAATTTGCTCTTTCTAATCTGCATTTTCTTCATTTCTCCCCACAGTATGGTCTCTACGGTTGCTTCTTCGGCTGTTTCATTTACGTGCTCTTCGGCTCCAGCAAAGATGTACCTGTTGGTCCTACCGCCATTGCCGCACTGCTTGTCTATCAAACTGCGCGTGGTAGCTTGGAGAAAACTATATTACTTACATTCCTCACTGGCATTATTGAATTGCTGATGGGCATACTACAGCTCGGCTTCCTCATAGACTTTGTGTCAGGGCCGGTTAGTGCGGGTTTCACTAGTGCTGTCGCGCTCATCATTTTTACCTCACAACTCAAAGATATACTAGTCGTAAGCACAGCCGGTGATACCTTCGTCGATATGTGGATCTCAATAATAAACGATATTGAAAATATTAGCTGGAATGATGCTGCGCTGGGCATCGGTTGTGTCTTCCTATTGCTGGCCATGCGTGCTATGACTATGGTAAAGATCGGTCCCAAAGAAGGCAAAAAATGTTGGCAAAGTGTACTTGAGAAGATCATCTGGCTGATCGGTACATCGCGTAATGCTGTGCTTGTCATACTCGTGGCCCTTTTGGGCTATGTTTTGCTTAGTTCGGGCATTGATATCTTTAAGATGGTCGGCTTTGTGCCAAAGGGTTTGCCAGAATTCAAAGTGCCGCCATTCTCCATGACCACCTACACCAATTCTAGCAGCGGTGAAGTAATTGAGACGCATGAGAATTTCGGTCAGATGGTTAGCAGTCTGGGTGCTGGTTTGATTGTGGTGCCGCTAATATCGTTGCTGGAGAATACCGCCCTCGTGCAAGCTTTTGGTAAGTTAANTACACCAATTCTAGCAGCGGTGAAGTAATTGAGACGCATGAGAATTTCGGACAGATGGTTAGCAGTCTGGGTGCTGGTTTGATTGTGGTACCGCTAATATCGTTGCTGGAGAATACCGCCCTCGTGCAAGCTTTTGGTATGTTAATAACTACATGCATAGAACGTAGGCGAATAATACTTATTATAATATCAATTTTATTTTCAACAGCTGATGGCAAGCCCGTTGATGCGAATCAGGAACTAATTGCCATTGGACTTTGCAATATTGGCAATTCCTTTGCGCAGGGCTTCCGTGGTAATGGGCCGATCGCGCGCGGCGCCGTTTTAAATGCTAGTGGCGTTAGGACACAGCTGTCCAACCTCTATACCGGTATCATTGTCATATTTGCTTTGCTATGGCTTACGCCAGCCTTCTACTACATTCCAAAAGCTGCTTTAGCTGCCATCATCCTGGCTGCAGTGATCTTCATGATACAATATCGCGTAATCAAGCCAATGTGGAGAAGCAAAAGTGAGTCCAAATGGGTATAATTTTGTTAGTTAACATTTCTTATTCAACAAAATTTTTGTTTCCTTTTTGCAGAAACTGATCTCATCCCTGGTATCAGCGCTTTTATTGCTTGTCTTTTGTTACCGCTGCAGATCGGCATACTTGTTGGCATAGGCGTCAATATTGTTTTCATTCTGTACAGCGCAGCGCGTCCTAAATTGCGCATCGAAACCGCAACTGTAAGTTAATTAAATAAAAAATTGTACTTTCTTCTTTGGAAATAAATTAAATGGATTTGTTTTTTTTTTTTGCGATTCAGACTTCGAATGGCATCAAATATCTCATGCTTACACCCGATCGCTGTCTCATCTTCCCATCGGTTGAGTTCGTGCGCAACGTAATCAACAAACAAGGTCGCAAATCTACGCTGCCGGTAGTGATTGACTGCACCTACATCTATGGTGCGGATTTCACAGCTGCCAAGGTGGTCTCACTGCTAATTAATGATTTCGAGGCGCGCAATCAAAAGCTCTACTTCTATAATTTACAATCCCGCGTCGGGCAGGTGTTTGAGGGCCTCAACAAAGGGCTGATTGTTATATACGATGCTGAACATTTGGAATTGGAGCTTTCTGGCAAAGAAAATTGAGCGAGGCAGTTGTTTGTGTTGCAAATTAACTCTAATCGCTGATACGGAAAACTATGACTAAATCGAATGAATATGTGAAATAGTGAAAGTGTGATATAAGGTTGTTACTTAAGAGAACAGGGCAAATGTGTATGTTTTAATAGCTAAATGCTGGTACTTAAGAATTAATTTTGAAACAAATACTTACACACTATGTACATGGATATTTTGATATTCAATAGTTGAGTGTAAAATACTTTTTCTCATATCAAATCAAATGTTTTAGCTTTTATTTAAAACTGCTGAACAAAAGACTTGTTATCGAAAATACATTTTTGGTCCTTCAACTGTATATAAATACATATCCGTTACCTTAATATAGAAAGGCCCTAAATCATTTTGTTTTCAAATCCAGAACTGTTGAACAGTCTGCTGACTTATCACTAAAAGCCCATTGGTTTTTAAAAATAACTAATACAGCATAAAATTAGTTATTTTTTTCAACAAAACAGCCTTCGAAAGAAATTTCCAGTAAAAGCACTTGATTTTCTATGGAGTTTTTTCATGACCCCATAAAGAAACCAAAATCTTAGATAGGGCCTCTATATGTATTAAGGTAACGATATGTATCTGACTTAGATAATATGTATGTATAGCTTTGTAAAGGAAAAGTATATGGGAGAAAGTACGTCTTTAAAACAAATGTATAAGAACTAAACATTTTTTTATTCAAAGATGATGCTATTAAAAATTTTTATTTTTTTTTATGCGAAATAGTATTTTTCTAAGTTTCTTATTTTTTTAAATGGAAATTATTATGACGCAAATTGGAATATAGCCTTGTAAATATGTATGAATAAACTTTAGAAGGCGATACAAATTTCTGCAGCTGTAGCTTTTATTCCTTAGCTTTAAAAATAGGTTAACATTCAATAACAATTAACTGCATATCAGAACCTTATTAAAAAAAAAAACTTTTGCTTTATCAAAATTCGTAATGAAAGCATGACCCTGCCTTAAGTAATTAAAAGATAAATGAACTCTTATTAGTTATCTATAGTTAATATACAGTAGACATATTAATACGACAATTCTACTTATAGGAAAAATACATAACATACACACAAAGCTATATTACTAAGGTAGTTCATTTGTCAACACACATGTGTATCTATGTACATTGTTTATTTATACAATACCAACTTATGTGTGTATTTATGTAAGTATGTATAACTACCTATAGAGAAATTAAGTAGCTGTTAAATTGTATAGTTTTATATACAACCGTTAAGTTTGTCAAACAAGCATATATGTATGTATATTGGGGTGGTCCAAAAAGAAACCCTGTTCCTCTTCAGGAGATTTCCAATAATAATAATACCCAATTAATTTTTTAATCATTTCTTCATAGTAACTATTTTCAAAAGGTCCGCCAAAACCCCTAGCAAATGCAACAGGGGGATAAATCAAAAATCTGTAGTATAAAATATGGTTAAATAAGCAATTGGGTATGGTCATTTAAAGTCTCCTGAAGAGATCCAAAGTTTTCCGATCGAAAAATATTGATTTTCAAGGATTCCACACCATTTCTACGAAAAGTTGTTTTTCCATATAAAATACATGGAAAATTTTGAGCTCTTTGAGCGACCTCTAAATATTTTTTGATTTCAAAATAAGAAAATAGGGGTATAGTTTTTTCGATATAGAACAATTCGAGGGGGGAGAGCATTAAAATTCCGACTTTACTTATTTTGGACCACCCTAATGTACACACATCTGTGTATATACGTACTTAAGTATGTATTTATGATACATATTACATGAATGAATCCATGAATAAAAGCAACATATTGAATGCAAATGACAGTTGTGTTGTGAATTAATTACACAGGCCAACAAGGGTCAAGAAGCGGAAACACTAACATATATTCCCGAAGGATTTTGATGCCCTGAACCGCAATCTGACCGCAGAATAGCTCTATGACGCCAGGTTTTTGACATATCCTAGCCTTAAGTGTAACAAGTAAAAAAGTCTTAAGTTCGGGAGGAGCCGAACATCAAAGACCCGGTGCAAGTATAAGCTAAAGTTTTCACCTTCCTGAAAACTACAGAGTGGTTTTACCACTATTTCTAACTTCAGCTAGTGTCAAGCCCGTTTTCCAAAATTCCACATTAATGTTGCTTCCTTTTAAGGGATTCTTATTAGTATAAATTTTGAGTAAGTTAGAGTCCTTAAATTTCAAACTACCGAAGTTTCAAACATTTCTGAAATATACCGTTATATGAAAAGTGGGCGTGGCGTTTTTCTTTTATGTGGGAATCGCTATAATCATACTGAGTTGTCGGTAATCGGTAATTTTAGTGGTAACTAAACTAAACTAAACTGGCCTTTTCTACGCATTTTGCTGTTATCCCCCTACGAATGTCTGGTTACACAGTTGAATGTGAAATTTTCTAAATTCACCGCGGAAATAGACAAAACGTAGTATCAGAAAGTTCGATTTGACATACATACATACATTTATACTATCTATGTAGATACCCACTGTTTTAATTTTTCACGTTGACGAAGAGTTTTGCACGATATCTTATTCTATAAATAATCTTGTGCAAGCTTAAAAAATGGTTACGATTGAAGATTAAAAAAAAAA